CATTTCCTTATTTATTGGCGTATCCATGAAAACTGCGTATAGTATTGTGTTAGTGGTTAAGATCGGAGACGGTGATGCCGTGAAAGTCATATCTGGTTTGAATGTCGAGGATAGGCTGTGGTAGGTCATCCCGGGTCATAAGAAGTGGCACGCGTAGGGTGAGGGTCGGAGTGCAGGGACAGCGTAGGGCCGAAGTAACGCGTGGCAAATGGGGCGAGAGCGAGCGCAGCGTAAGACCCCGATCAGGCAATCACGCCGACGGCGACGCCGCTCCTAAGCGGCGAATACCGATGCCAACGTATAGCGAGGAGCAAGGCGTCACCGCTGGCGCAACACACATGCTATAAAATGTACTCATGAGTAGAAGGTGCCTATAACGAAATTCACTGCCCTATTTAGAAACATTGTAGTGTTCTGAAAAATGGCTAGAGGTGGAGCTGAGATTAAAGGTAAGCGGCAAGCCTGTCCGATTACACTCCAAATACCGGGAAAAACGAAGAGATACTAACGAAGCAAACAGTCGATTTTATGATAGGCAAAGTGTGCATCAGACTGCGGCTTGAATGGAAAACCTGTAATCATGTCCAAGAACGTTCCGGAGTCCTGGACGGAAGTTAGTAGAGTTGGCAAACAGAGAGACCAATTTCCCATAGTAGGTGGAGTGAAAAACAAAGTAAGCGGAGCTTGAACCAAAAATCTGTATCCGGGTCTAGAAGCATTTGAAGATCCAATAAGAAAGTGAGCATAATGCTGTCAGAAAGCCGCAATTCACTTTCCGCGATGTAATGTGGGAGTCCATGTGAGCGGAATTCCTTCAAATGGTGTTCGAGTCCATACTACCACCAACTTCATGCTTCCGGTTCTTAACCTCCATTTTCCGGCTTTCCTTTATCCTCAAAAGAGAATCGATGACTTCGCTGTTCTGAACAGCAAAGATATTTTGTCGCCATGTAACATCCGTGATGTGTCCTTCGTGCACTTTTTAGGGGAGTGTCCCGTTTTTAGCAGCCACTTCTTCTTCACATCTGCGATCTTCTGTTCTCGAAAAAAGCGATACAATAAGTGTTCATACTTAGATGTTATTTGACAATCCTCCCTTTTAAATAAACCCTTTTTCGTAAGACATTCGAATCAGGAGCAGCTCAATTCAAACTTATTCCGGTGCTGCAACAAATTATATTTGATGATCATCCAGATTTGCCTTATTCTCACAATCAGTCAGCCTGCTTGCGCGAGTGGCAAATGATGTCTTATTCCTATGTTATGTTATGCGCCACTGTTCTTCTTCTGTTTTGCTGTTGATACAGAGTCTTCCCACAATCCCCGCTGCAGATGGTCCGTGCTCCACGACGACCAGNCAATTCAAACTTATTCCGGTGCTGCAACAAATTATATTTGATGATCATCCAGATTTGCCTTATTCTCACAATCAGTCAGCCTACTTGCGCGAGTGGCAAATGATGTCTTATTCCTATGTTATGCGCCACTGTTCTTCTTCTGTTTTGCTGTTGATACAGAGTCTTCCCACAATCCCCGCTGCAGATGGTCCGTGCTCCACGACGACCAGGTGTTGCTTTATCTGGATATCGGGCCGCCCGGCTAACGTCGGGCTTCCTTCCTTCTTATGGTGTCGCCCGGCTTCGCCAGGCAGTCCTTCCTGTAAGAAGTCTGCTATGCGTGAATAACCCTTCGGATTCTCCTTTTTCCTTGAAGGCACTGCACCCTCAGTATTAGCTCCGAATTGGGAGCGTTTTTTTTCTGTAAGCTATCTTCGCTGTGTCCGGTAAGAACATCGTATCATATCACAAAGGCGATTATTCAGCGAAAAAAGGGCAGATGGGCTGAGGAAGCGTACCTCCGCGGAATTTTCGTACAACTGGAATAATTTGAGCGTCCTATGGCCAAATTGTCAATTTTTGCGCAAACCCCGCCCCTGTGGGCGAGGTTCTTTCCTGTCACTTATACCAAGTGTTCCCATCCTGTCGCCTGTACTCCTATCAAGTTTGAACGCTCCAGGGCCGAATTGACAATTTTCACGCAATCCCCGACCGCTATGGACGGAGTCCGGACCTGCCACCAACCATTCGTGTTCCTATCCGACCGCCCTTACTCCTACCAAGTTTGAGTGCTCTAGGATCACGGGGACAAGAGTTGTGAATTTTTGCACAAACCCCGCCCCCTTTAGGCGGAGTCCGGTCCTGCCACCCACCAAACGTGTTACCATCGTGCCGCCTATACTCCTGCCAAATTTGAACGCTTCCGGTCCACGGGGACAGGAATTATGAATTTCCGGTCAGACACACACACATACACACACACAAACACAAACACACCAACAGACACACTTAGCCGATTATATAAGTAGGATATTTCAAAATAATGATCCAGAAGTTCTGATATTTTGATATTAGAATCGAGGTATATGTTTCCAGTCAAAACAGACTTCATAGTTCGTACGGAAAGACAAGATTTTGCGGATTCTACGTTGTAACGACAAAGCAAAGAAGCACGCAAGCTTACCAACAAGTACACTTATATACAGAAAGATATGGATTCTATCTTCGCAATTTATATTAGACGACTACACAGAGACATACAAGACGGAAACACATCCACTAATTATTCAGGAACGATTTTGTTTGGAGCATGAATAATTTGACTCCAATGAAACTGGCGAAATTTCAAAACAAGAAACTAGAGAACTGTATTGCATTATGTACATGTCACTATCTGTAATCTACTGCTCGCAGCCATTGTAAAGTTATGGAAGTTCTTCTAGATGCTTTCAAAAAATGAAACGAGGAAATTACTTCTGCAGAGGGACTTAAACTGACCGGATTTTTGCCTTCGCGAATGCTCAATCCCATAGATCGTATGCACCGCGTGAAAATAGTGTCGTAGAAAGGTGACCAGTCAATGAGGTCTGGATTGTTGTAAGCAAGCCTGAAGCCTCTTTTATTGATCTCATATTAAGGTTATCGAATAATCCTGAATTATTGTGATGCGACATAGATAAGCAATTTTTTTTTGAACACTTCGCCTATGTTCAGAGAAAAAAAAGAAAAAGCACATTTTCCGAAGCATAAAATATGTTTGCTGCTTTTAGTAGTGATCTCGCTGAAATACAAGAGTGTGCTACATAAGTGGCAAGCACTTTCAGATAAGTCAGAGAGACGGGATAAAGGACGAAGTCATTGGATTGAATAAGCCGTTTTTTGGATGCGTTCCGGCATTTGACATGCCATCAAAATCGGCTTGCAATGAAAATCGCACCACATATTTCGAATGCGTATGTGAATTGAATTGCGGTGGCCGGTTGATGTACAGTACAATGTTTCACCCTCCCAGGAGGGTCCGGTACCAACCATTTAACACTGAATGGATGAAAAACCTGGATGGCTTAGAGGTATCACTAAGGATCAGGTGAATTGATTCGCTCCCGTCTTCTTTTCAATTCGACTGCGCAAATACACTGAGATTACGCTCGTTTTGCGAACGTACCGCCCTCGAGGGCGGAGTCAGGTCATACCACCTGCCACAAGTATTCCCACCCTGTATTGTACTCCTACCAATTTTGAAAGCTCTAGGCCCGTATCAGCCTTATTCCTGCAAGCTCCATCTCCCCTGGGTGGAGTTTGATCGTGCCATCTACCAAAGGCGTTTCCATCTTGCCTCCCGGACACCTTCCAAATTTAAATGCTTCGTTCCAGTACGACAGGGTCATGAATTTCCTGTCAGGAAAACACGCGCATACAAATACACCATTAGACACACTCAGCAGATTATACAAGTAGGATATAAGTGCAGAAAGCTGTGCTCCATTTAGAGGACGAACAACCTCTGAGGCAGGATAGTCAGCTTGATGGGATATGAAGAAATTACTGTTACTGGCTGTCACATGCTGAAGGATGTTACTTGTCTCTATAAAGTCTGTTAAGGAATTCGTAGGATAAGATGCCAAAATCGATGGTTTTCAGCATATTCTTCAGCAGTGGAACACGCTGAACACCTTAGCAGAGCTTGATCTTCTGTCCCTGCACTATCTTTCACATTGCAACAGATCTTGATCAGTCTAAACTGCTGTTATTTTCTCAAACCCTGCCCCCGCGAAAGTCCGGGAAAAGTTTTTTTATAACTTTCTTCGTCGAACTTGAGGGATTTTTTGTGGAGTCATGGCAGAGATCTTTCAAAATATATGGACACATTTTTTCATACAAACGTGATCTCAATTGGAGATATGGATAAGCTCGTTCTCAGCCTCTTGCTCATGTTGCAACCTAAGAAGTCGTACCACTCAGAAATGTGCGAAGTTTGATTTTAGTACAACTATCTCTACACATCTCTTAATTAATCGACTAAGTCCAGTCATTGAAGATGATGACCTTCTTGCAATAGTTTGTAACTAAGGTCGAGATCTCATTCTTCAGTAGCGGTTTCCTCCACAAAGGAGACAAAAAACCATGTCACAAAAATATCAGCACTTCCTTGAACCCGTTTAACACTCAATGAGCCTTTTCAAGTCCGAACCAACTCAAGAGGTACCGCCTGTGACCGTTTAACAGTCGTGAGTTATGTCGGTAGAAAAAGGTTTTTCCATTTAGACATGGGTTTCTTCGCCAACAGATTCGGCACCATTCAAAATTGCATCGCCCACAATCCCTCAGGCACTTATCATTCAAAGAGCATTGCAAGGATGATAGAGAGCTTCGAATATAGTGTGTCTCTGTTTGTTACGATTCAATCCTTCTCTCTTCCAAACTGCGGTCCTTCATGACTGCCTTTCGCATCAGCTCTATTTTGAAATTTCGCACCAATTCTTAGTCATTACGTCTTAAACACAGCAATCAGCTGCAGTTCCAAATTTCTGAATAATGCGACCTTTCATATGAACACACTATATACTTACGATGCAAATAGACCGGGTAGTTCTGAACCCCACTTATCTCCCATTTCTACTACTTCGTACATTTTCCACATCGTGTCAAACCACAGACCAGCGCCATACTTTTTATGTTCCTAAATACGAACTTTGAATGTTCTCAGAATGATAGAGTTTCAAAGGATATCTTACCTCAGTACTCATTTTGACTGGCAGAAACATTAACGCTAGATCACAAAACTCTTTTGTAGAATACACAGGCGAAAGATGGGTTTGTATCTGAACAGGAAATGAGGACAAATAATCTTGCATAGCCCATTTCTCAAAGCAGCAAGCAGCACATGTGGACATGCATATGAAGAAGATAAGTCTAAAGAACCTGTTCAGCTTAAAGCAGATTGTTATGGCCTATCCCATGATTATTAGAAATTACACACTGAGCACCCAGATAGAGGTGTGATGAGGCCATCAGGGACATTGAAAGGGTTACCTGCTCAGTTAAAACTTCCCCGGAAGTCTGGAAACACTTAAAAAACGATCCCGTCTGACTCTTCAACATCGGCATGGAGGAAGTGAAGTGAAGATTTCGACGCTTTGCTCAGGAACTGTTAACAGGTTCACCAGCAATGGGGAATGAGATATTGCTGATTGCTCCATTTGCCGGATTATTTCAGGAGTTACGTTACGCTTCAATCACGATCGAGTGAGTAGTAGACAGTAAATTGAGAGAAGGCTTAACCGGTGAACAATGGAATGGTGTTTGGGACGTTGCTCAGCTTAAGCTCGTACTTGGTTTATGATTGCATTTATAACTGGCTTGATCTAGACATACATAAGAATCATTGCATAAGTGGAACATGGCTATTTCTAGGGATTTAGATTCAGTCGTCCACGAATCAGTCCTAGATCTAGAATAAGGCTTGGCCCTAAAAGGGTGTTCATCGCTCGTAGACTCCAGTACAAGTATAGGTTTCTGAACTACTGCATTGATATAAAGGAACTAAAAGAGCGTCATGTGGCATCAGATGAGCGACCTCATCTTAACACTGTTCAGTGAGTCCTTTTTGACGAATTCAACAAACCATTTATGCAACTCGGGAAAGACGGCCAACTTATGGATTTAACTACATTCTGTAGTGGAACGAACTCTTAATCAGGTGGTGCGCCAACTCAGTGAATGAGCCTCTCAAAGGGAGACACGCCCCATCGCCAGCAGTAATTCCAACAATAAAGTTGAGTGAAGGATAACAAACCTTATTCCATATTTTTGGTGATTCAGAAGGTCTGTAGAAGCGCTTCAATCGAACAACAGCATTGCGCATATTTTTTCCGTCAACTTCTTCAAGTTTGCCGTAATTTGCACCATAATAAAGTTGGTATACTGGCTCCCAATCTAAGACCAGGTCCTTGTGGTCAAGGTAAGATTTGCTGCAAATTTTAACGATGGGCTACCAACGTCCGATCTTCCTACACTTGAAAAAAACTTACTTCATTAAGTCCTCGAGAGCCAAGGCTGAGAAGGTGATTATGTCTTCCCATTGATCTTTTCTAACAAGAATAAGATAAAATAATTTAATCAGCTGTACCAGTTCTTCTTTAACAAATCGGAAACCATACATGGTTGTGAAACTGGAAATGGTGTTTGCCAATTTTTTTTCTCACTAGCGGATGTCTGCTTAAACACGGTTAGATGCCTAGAAAAACTTCCACACTCATATTTTTACCTCTTATTTACTTTTCTATTAATACGATTATCGTATTCAATGCTGTGACTAACACTAGCACAAAAATTCCATTCGATCATGCAATATAAGACTGAACTTTAACCCCCTTTCCTTGTGTCCTGACCTCGATCACTCCACAGAGTCCATTATTCTTATAATGAACAAGTTCAACATAACTTTGAAGAAACGATTTTGTTTGGACATTGGAAGTTATGTTGACTTTCCGCCAAATCCTTCCGATCAGGCTCTACGACCTTCTCCTGAAGGTTCATAAGGTGGGTTCCAGGAAGCGTGCTTTTCTCATCGCATCTCACCACTGCGTCTCCTTGGCAAGTATCCAGGCTTTGCAGGAGCTGGTTCTGCTAATTATGCTGCGCCGTTTGACTCCTTCGTATCCGAACTGGAAGAGGGAACCTGCCTTGAATGATGGTCTACGGTAGTGGGCCGGCCCTGGCTACTGTGGAGCATAGCAAGTTCCACCATTGACTGAGGCACCACTCTAAGTTTTCTAAAGCATCTTCAGTGGCAGAGGTTGCAATGCTTTGAGTGGTATAAGATCCGAGAGTTTTGCAACCACTCGATGCTCTCCCAAAGATAACAGCTGACTCCTAGAAGCCGAGTAATCTCATCTTCTTTATGTCCAGCCAGTGCTCAACCTATGCAAAAACGTTCCTGACTTCAGACAGTATCCTACCAACGAATTCCTTTCTCACCCTTACTATTATTTCCTTCAAGTGATTTGTGGTTACACAACACGTGCAGTGTGGCTACGATTTTATTACCAACAACCATTTCATGCTACATGCACTTTGAGAAGCAATCTTTTTACGAGTGAATAGTCTATCTTATTTTTGTCTATCTCCTCTGCTGTATCACCTCTGGTCATTTGAAAAAAAAAAGATGGAGAAGTTGATGTAGCCCTCCTCAGGATCCTTTCCCCTGCTTATTCTTCCTTTCTCTCTTTTCCAGCCCTACTTCTTCATTGACCAAAATTTTAGAACACTTGCTATCATTCAGTAGTGATCTCGACAATAACTTTGATAGGTCAGGGTTTAAGAATGACTCATTTTTGTTGAATTCCGAGCAACCGGCTTGTGGTGTGAACACAGATAGCAACCCAACTTCTCATTTGTATTGTCAGCCTGATTCAATGACTGATTCTGTTCACAGCGGTGATGCAACCTTGGAGCAGCACTCCAATTCTGGTGTCACTGATTTCTTGCTTGACACCTTTGCCACTCTCTTCAATCTTGGCTTCTTTGTTCGTGCAAACCTCGAGGAGAAGAGAGGGCGAAGCTTCCGCCCTTTCTTCTCTTTCAGTTTCGAACACTGTTGTTCATTGCTTCTGTGACTTCATCCATTTCTGCTACCATCTCCATCAGCCAGCATTTCAACTTGGGCTTAACGACGACTCTTCACTAAGCATGGAGTTTCCTTCCCACCTCACATTACACGTCTGACTTATTGAGTACGGCGTAATTTCCAACGAAAAGGGGGACCCCCTTACTGATCCCTACTTGTTTACACTCTATTCAGTATTTAAATACTATCTTCTTAACTGCGGCTATGTGTTCCCCACCATTATCCTCAGTCGTTTTTCGTCAGAACCCTCATCGTATGAAGGGACAACACTCATGATCCTCCACCGAGCATACACAAGCATCAACTAAAAATTTGCTGAGTAGTACGCTTCCAAGTAAAGTGCTCAAAGCAACAAGTTGTTCACCTTTAGCGGTATCGTCCGCTACATATAACAGAAAGATGTGCTACTGATTGCGCTCAAGGTTACGTACACTGCCATTGTGCTAGTAAGAGAAGTCGAGGACCCGCACACACTTGCAACGATGAATCCATTTCTTCAGTTTACTCAAAAATATACTTTAAAAAAAGTGAATGATTAGCTTACGATTTCAGAGCACATATGAAGTTGCGGAGAGCAGGATGCTGCTCATTTGTAAGTATCGATATGACAAGACCATGCTTTATGTGCTCCAAACGAGTATCCAATTCCCTGTTGAGCATTTCGTAATAAGGAAGAAGCGCAAACTTCTTTTCGTGATGACATAACTTGCGAGCAGTTTCCTCTTTAACCCCCACAGCTGCGTCCACCACGACAAATGAAGGTTTCTGAAAAGCACGGATTTCGTGGTATGCTTCCTTATACAGAATCGACAACCTCACCATTCCACTTGAGCAGCCTTCGGAGATGCAAAGTTTGGTTGTTGTGCTGAAGTATCATCTCACAACTCCTTAAATATTGCGGAAAGAGCTTGAAGAAGCCACGTATAACTGATAAGCATGATCAGAGAAGTATTAGCAAAACCTTTTGGTATTTCGAAGATGGGTGGCGAGCTTTCCAGACGTTAGATCATAGGAGTATGACGAAAACATCACTGTATTCCCACGGATCCCCATAAGCTGTGAGTGCGGCCTGGAAAGATGGTGCCACCAAACATCTAAGCTGTGCGCCTACAAAAGTGCATGCACGTCCCTGCATATGAGCTGGAAAAGACGCTTTAGTCGATCTAACCTGATCATTTCCACGTTTGAAAAGAAAGTTGGACGCTAGCCACCACTGCAGTACAAAACCTATTGGAAATCCCATAAAGACTGAGGCAGATGCCTAAAATCTGTTTTTTTTTCAATTAGTCATTTACAATTCAGTCGGATCGCCTGCTTAGCACCGGGCTTCATTGTTCTTATGGCAGAGCTTCAATAACCGGCTGATCGCAGAGCTTCAATAACCGGCTGACCGACCACTCCTTCTATGGGGCAGATGATATTTTTCTGGACACGAATTCGAAACAGGACTAGCAGAGCAGTCCGAACGACATTCTGTATCGTGCTGATGCTCATGTCCGAGATTAGAAGTCTCGATATGTTGCGCTTCATCTTAAAAAGAATCACCAAATAAAAATCTAATTGCTAAGCATCTAGAGCTTTGAATGGTACCCACAAATTTTGTCGAGCGTTGATAATACCATTAGCAACTGAGGATACATCATCCGTTGAGAACCCCAAATTGTTGGCGGTCGGATAGGTTTTGTCGCAAATGATATCGGAACAAAGGGAAACTGTTATCATTCATTGAGTCAAAACCTTGCTGGATAGCGTTCACAAAGGGGTTTACAAACCAAATCTTCTTATAATGTAGTGCCTTTAATTGGTCCCTTTCAGCGCACCTACAACTAGCTTTTTGTCATTCTACTATATCAACCCCGTCCTATCATACTAAGGAGTCAAAGCTACATAGTAAGTAACAAAGGCTTCAGGATTCAGTTGGTAAGTGGCTGTTGCTCTATAAAGCCCCTTAATAGCTTTTGTTCGTTCATCTCAGTTCGTGTCACAGAGTGCCTACCACCCCGTCACATCCCACATCACTTATTGAAATGCCGAGGTTCTGTTTACATGAAGGACCTTAAGATCCTCATGGCTTCGGTTTTCTACGGCTCCGCCAGCCCTTCGCTTGCTCTCGGTCCTTGTCGATGCTCTCGGTCCTTGTCGATCACCTGTGGCCCTTCATATCCCATACCACTTAGAAAGTCAGTCAGAGAGTCATCAAACCACCACTGTTAATATGAATGAAACGGAATGAAGTACGCCTTTCTGTCAGCGATAAAGGTGAAGAATTTGTTGTATTACCTCAGTCTTTAGACAGGGAAATCACAGAACTTCACCTAACAGGCAACAGTTTACCACAACACGACAGAAAAAGCCTTTCATATGCAAACACACAAGTTAAACACCTTGTGGGTCAAAGTAGGAAAGATGGCAAAGTTGGATGAAACATTCATTAGAAGGCTAAAGCTAGAAACCCCCACGTGCCCGGTATTCTATAGCCTAATCAAATCCCATAAGTTGTCTGCTGAAAACATGCAGTCACCTCTCGCAGGCTTGCAAGATCAGGCCTATTATCAGTTGTGTGAATGGACCGATCGCTTTTTATGTGGTTTCTGAATAAAACCATGGGTCAGCTCCTAGTCCATACACCATCACATCTGCCGAATACGGGACAGTTCTTGGATCGCTTACGCGCTTGCAGATTTCAACGCGACTGTCGAGTCATTTGACGTTTCTGCGCTCAACACAAACGTTAGCAACAACGAGGCTTTGCAGACTGTCTCAGAAATGCTCGATCAGCATGAGAGAAATGTGGTGACGTTCGGACGCTTTACGAGTGCTTGAACTGCAATATATTTAAGTGGTCCGGGAGATACTTTTCACAAATAAGAGGCTTGCGATGGGACAGCGGATAGCACCGGTTCTTGCTGTTTGCTTTATGAGTAGAATCGAGCAACCAGTGCTAGCACGTCTACCCATAATGTACTGCCGCTACATTGACGACCGTTTCGTCATAACATCAACTCAGTCAGAAACGGATGAGTTGTTCAACATTCTGAACAGTCAATCGCAGTACATCAAGCTAACTCGAGAAGCCCTACACGAAGATGGTTGCCCTTTTTGAATACTCCGGTAAGGGTTACCAGTGGAACATACAGTGTGAAATGGTACAGGAAAGGAAGCTCTGATAATATCATATTTCATGCAATGTCGCCAACACCCCAGAGCAGTTAAACGCGCAGTATTACGGAGTATGTGCAGAAGGGCTGTGGAGGTATGCACCGGTAACGAAGAGTGGGAAGAGTCCAGGAGGTTAGCACACCAAATAACCAATCTGAATGGATGTACAACTCGGCAGCATGGCCCACGAGGCAGATCAAGGCCATTTTCATGTGGGTTTGAGGATAAAATTTATCTTCAGCTACCATTTATATCAAATCGATTCAGCGCAGCTATTCAGCAATGCTTAAAAAGAGCGGATCTAGCCAATGACGTTTTCTTGGTTAACATAATAAGAGAAAATATCAAACACCAGTGGTTAGAAATCGGATTTGCATAATGGATAATTGCGTGATCTGCCCGTATGTGTCAAACACTGAGGCTGGTTTACCAGTCTCAGTGTTTGACATGTGATGCTTGCTATATTGGAGAAACTGGGAAACAGTTATGCGTACGTGTGAAAGAACATCTAGCTAGCGAACGAAGGCTGTGATGCTTGCTATATTGGAGAAGATTGCTCGATTGCACCGCTTAGGGAGCACAGAAGAAAAGGCCATGCTGGCTGTGACTTTGACGTTAAATGCACGATTTTGGCCTACGATGACAGTATTGGTGCCAGAAAAACTCTAGATACTTCCTGGATAAGACACCGAAATTCGAGCATGAATAACAAGAACGAGCGCATCAACATAACTGGTGACCTCTTGCCTTATATTCCTCTGTGTGAGCTCTGATAGTAGGGACTGATACGTGTCACGTCACGATACGCTGTCTCAATTGCTCTATTTTCTCTAAAGCTGAGCAACTGTTCGGTGTCGGTGGAATTGACGTAAGTGACTTGTCGGAATTTCTACTCAGTTCGAAGTTCATCGGTCTGAGTTGCAGCTAGTTAAGAGATGGTCTACGTCAAGCGTGATAGTCTGAAGTTACGATACACTTTCACGCCTTTGTTAACGACGAGTTTGTCGAAAAGTCAGGCGAATAAAAATTCCACCATTAAAAAATCTTAGTGCGATTATCACTTATGGCATGATTCTCCTGTTAGTTATTTTGTTCCTGAATTTCTTACTCGCTGCTGCATTTTGCTACATTCCTTTGCGCGCGGCGTCTCTCTCGCCGCGACGCGACAGTTTCGTTCCTACTTCACCAAACCCCAAAGAGGTGTACGGATCCTGCAACTTCTAGGACTCTTTATCAGCTTCTACTATTTGTTAACACATCTTACCACCCACCATCAGTGATCCCATCCTACTGCCCGTATCCCTTCCAAGTTTGAACGCTCCAGATCCACGAACGCAGGAGTTATGAGTTTCCGGTCAAGCATGCACCGACACACATACCGACAAACCATCAGACACACTTAGCGAATTATATTCTGTAGGATTACATGAGGTAGACTTCATGTAAGATAGAACCTTAGAACGAGAACATAACCTTCAGATCATCTGACATGAATCTCCAATATGACAAGAGAGGATTGGGAGATGGTTAAAACTATGAAATAAAACGTAAGAACACATCTTTAGGCTGTTCCTAAAAGCTATATCATTGACAGGAGAGACGAACAGTGCTGCCTTTATATAATTCAAAATATCATCTATATCACCTGTCGTAACGTTGATCATCGATTTTCTCGAGCAGGCGTCATCAACGTCTGCCTTCCTCCCTGTCGCGAGCCAGAGTAGACTAGTGGATCGTCTTCGCGTGATGCGCGCGGAACGTTGCATTCTTTTCGTTCAGAGCCATCGTCAAGAGGACTGACCATCGTGCTGGCGGCCGCCCTCGTGTTCGTTCAGCGTTCCGCGGGATCTAGTCCGCAGCCACCCTGGTCCTGGGTGGAATTCGAAAGCCTTACAAGTTTCTTGATGAGAAGATGTTCGAAAGAAAGCGCAAATGCCGTGCGCTTTTTGCATGTGGCACGCGCATCAACACACCTCTCGCTGACAAAAAGAAGTCCAGCGTGGAAGAAACGTTCAGAGTGCGAGTAGGTTTCTCACTAAAAGTGGCCATATTTCCCCATCCAGGGTGGTTTAAGCTACAATGTGTACCATATCTCGAATTTTGGTCGAGAAAAGTAAAAAACTCGACCCGAGCATATTCATAGAGGGTTTTTGAAAGAATGCTTCTGGAATTCGAAGCTTATTAATGATCACCTGTATCACCTGTCGTCCCGTTGATCATCGAAATCCTCGAGCGGGCGCCAGTAACGTCTCCATTCGTCCCTGTCACGAGCCAAAGTGGTCCAGTGAACCGTTCTCGCTTCAGGTACACGAGGTTCAACATTCCTTTCGTTCAGAGCTTTCGTGAAGAAGTCTGACCATCTCGTCGGCGGCCTTCCTGGTGTTCGTTTGATGTCCCGAGGGATCCAGTCAGTAACCGCCCTGGTCCAACGGTCATCACTATGTCGCATAACGTGTCCGGCCCACCTGATCTTCGATTTCTTGGCGTAATCAACGGCATCCCTGATCTTCGTTCGGTGACGGAGCTCGGAGCTCCGGATTCCCTTCTGCACTTGCGTGTATAGAGAAATTCCGAGCATCGTCCTTTCCAAAGCGCGTTGAATAACGCTGACAGCATGCTCATCCTGCTTTCGTAGAGTCCAGGTCTCCGAGGCGTACGTCAAAGCAGGAAGGACAGCAGTGTCGAAAAGGTGAGCGCGGAGCCGGATGTTCTTTGTCTTCTTCACTACTCCCTCGATATTCTTAAATGCTCCCCA